CCCCCTCCTGCCCTTTTTCTCTCTTACACACACCCTGTCTTACCACTGTGCGTGACTGTTCACAACTGATCTTCTGGCTGGCCGTGGTGGTCAATGACTTTCAATTGTTAAGTTAATTAGGAATTCTTCCTACGTGAAACTTTCACTACTTTCAGACGTATAGGTCATTTCATCGGATAGCTGGTTAAACTTTGAATGTGGACAGCAGGTGACTATTTATTTTGGTTGCGACTTCAAAAGGCAAATTTTCATGGCCACTAAAGAAAAGTTGGCGATTTGAAGTACTTGAGCGAGACTTGATCCTTAAAAGGAGGCTTTATTCTTTGTTTTTATCCGGACAAAAGTTTTAGTTGAAATGTAGAAAAGAAAATGAGGACGCCACAACGTGAAGAGAGACGTCACTTTATTTCCTGGATTTTACATATAAAGTCTCCGAAAGCTCTATTAACGGGGACAACAATTTAATAGGTCTTCTTTTGTAAAACATATAATATTGGCCCAGATCTTTATTTTTAGAACCTCAAACTTGACATTTAATTATCTTGATTTGGTGGAAAACCTGCTGTCAGTTGGGCCCTCGAATATCTGGAGAAAAAAGTCGCTTTCTTCTCTCGCACTTTGACTCACCCCTCCCCCACCAAATCAACAAATGCGTTTTTGAAATGATGAGCGCGGATGTTTCCTCTATCATCAACCGAAGTTGAACCCTCTCTGGTTGAACTCGAATATGATGGATTACTCACTGTGTTGGTTTATAGGCCTACTGTACGACCTGAAACGGAAATTCTACCAAACAATTTTAAGTGTGCAAGCGCCTCAAGCACTTTTAATCGGACTAATTCAAATGATGCTGCAAATTTGTAAATTTTAATGTTGATTTTGTATTTAACTTTTAACATAGATCTGAGGACTTTTTGTCACTCGTTCTCAATTGAAAATGTAGATTTAGAATTCTAGGCTATTAAAAATGTGACAGTGTCGTACTTTTCTTTTCATTGTTTTTTGTGTTTTATTTTTGGGGCTTGATATAAAGCTAGAAATCTAGCATTGATAACAATTGAAGCATTATCTTTTATATTAAAAAATGGTACCCTGAACATCACCAAAACCTGGCGTACTACCTGAACTAAATATTAAGTCCAGATCTGAAATCAATAACATTCTCATAGATCCCATAACTATCTACATGCATCTTCAGAATCCCTTTCGCCGCAAAACAATTTATTGTAATTTTTATATTGCAGAAAGACGGGGTAGACGGTAAAAGTAAAAATAAATTTTAGCCCTTCTTTCGAGTCTTACTTGACTCGCTACCAGACTCGGTACTAGATCTAGTCGGTACCCACCACAGAATTCTACACTAAGCGTAGAATTCTGTGGTGCCCACATTCCGGCTAGGATCGCCACTCTGTGGGTCACATTTGGGTCCCCAGTGACGTCATGCGAAAAAGACGTTTAGTTTCAGCCTATTCTATTTAAAAGCAAATATCGACGGAGTTCTTGTTCCCATGGGATTTGCTAATACTGCTGTAACGCTAGTGATGCTGTTCCTCTATTTCATAACTCTCTATTACATGAAGTATTTTGATCTATTATTACATATTTATAAATATATTGTTACCATTTACTGCTGTTAAATGGCATCCAGTGACACTCCCCAGCCATCTGCTTAGTTTTAGTTTTAGTTTAGTAGGGTTTTTTTTAGCGCTTGCAA